GTTCTATTTTTTTTTTCATTGAAAAAAAATTTTTTTCTTTGTTAGGGAGGAAGGGAAAGGGAGAGAGAGAGAAAAAAACATTGGTGAGAGAGAATATGGATCGGCTGGCTCCTGCAAGCCCCTCACTGCAGACGGAGCCTGAAACCCAGGCACGTGCCCTGACTGGGGCTGAACTAGCAACCTCCTGGTTCATAGGTTGACGCTCACCACTGAGCCACACTGGCCTGCCAGATTCCGTGGTGTTTATGCGATGCCCTGTTTTCTGTGGGAGACGTTTAAAAATGTCTTTAAAAGCCTTTTCTGTTTGCCCACACGCTCACCCTGTTCCGCCTATTCTGTGTAGATTAACGCTCCCATCTGGCATCCCTCTCCTTCTGCTCAGCATCTCACGTGCCTAACCATCCCAGTGACGACTCGTGGTGGATTCTGGGAAAAGCGTTAAAACGTCATGATGCCACCTTTTAAAATAATCTCCTGATGGAAGCATAATATTAATGTAAAACCGGTTCACGTGCATCCAGCCGCCCTCGCCCTCGCCCTCGCCCTTGAAGGCTGTTTTGCCGGAATGGATTCCTGGGTGACCGTCCTTCTCTCTCATCTTCTGGCAGCAATGTCTCTCAGGGGTGTTGGGGTCCCCCGTCTCTGTTCCCAGGAGTGTCTTCTTTTCAAGCAGCTGCCACCCTGGGGGTGATGTGACTCCGTGCCGTTTCACATGGGTGCCTGCTGCTTGGGGTTTGTGTGGCCCAGTGGTCAGCGAACTCACACATCCACAGAGCCCAATATCAACAGCACAACGATGGACATTTCTTTGGAGAGCCACATTTTTTAAACTTAAACTTCTTCTAATGTCACTTTTTCAACATAGACTCTCCCAGGCCGTGGTGTTTTGTGGAAGAGCCATACTCAAGGGCCAAAGAGCCGCATGTGGCTCAAGAGCCACGGTTTGCTGACCTTGGGCTTAGTCTCTTGGACACAGTGTCTTTGCCCTGGGCCGCCACAGCCGGCACTGCCTCATGTGCAGTCTCTCAGCTGCCTCCTGCACACCTTGCACTGGGGATGTGCCCGCAACCACGGTACATGCCCTGGATGGAATCGAACCCGGACCCTTCAGTCCGCAGGCCGACGCTCTGTCCGCTGAGCCACACCGGTTAGGGCTGTTGATATTTTTTAAAAATTCTCTTTGCCATGTCTCCATCTGTTTCTGACCAGCTTTCCTCCTCAGCTGATGGATGTTTCTCTCTCTCCTCTCTTCCTCTCCCCGCCTCGCCCTTCCACTCTCTCTAAAGTCAGTAAAAACACATTTAAATGGCTCCCCGGACGCTCTGTCTCCGTGGTGTTGCTGGGGACGCACCGCCAGGTTCAACCCTCCAGCTGCCTCCCCTTCGCCCTCGGCAGAGTGAGCCCGGACCAGCGCTGACCGGAGTCAGACATGGCACCGGGCCATCGTCTGTGTCGCTTTATCTGGGGTCACCTCCGCCTCCGTCTGCGACACGGTCCTCCCGGCCCAGCGCCCGGCCGTTCTGCAGAGGGTCCGCCGTGCGAGCGCGATGCTGCCTCCGGTCGTTCCGAGCGTGCGTGACCTCGCCGCCCTTCGGAGGAGCGCTGAGCTTCCCGCCCGCGCCAGCCTCGGCGGGCCCTTCGGCGTTCACGGCTGGCCGCCGTGGAGCAGCACGGCCCCCACCCCGTTTCTTCAAAAATAATAATAATAAATAAATATATACATATATATATTTGTTAGTCCTCACCCAAGGGTATTTTCCCTTTGATTGTTAGAGTGGAAGAGAGGGGGAGAGACAGAGAGAAACACCCGTGTGAGAGTCACACATCGATGGGCCACGGCCCAGGCCTGGGAGGAACCTGCCGCTGAGGCACGTGCCTTGAGCAGAATCAAACCCGGGACCCTATGGCCAACAGGCCGACGCTCTATCCACTGAGCCACACCGGCCAGGGCCCCCTACTCTTTCTTTTTTACTCCTTTATTTATTCTGTTAAGTACTTGGTGTTAATGTAGAGGTTTCTATTCTAACGTGTGTCTCAAATTCGATGGAGTAGTCCCAGCCCGGACCTCCCCAGGGGGGCTGGGCTTGGAGTCAGGGTTCTGTGCGGGTCTGCTCCCTGCTGCTGGGGTGCCTGGTCCGTGCTCAGAGCTGAGCATTTGAACGTTCCATGACCAGGGGCTGAGCGTCCACCTAGGAACCAGGGGCTCAGGGTTCGATTCCTAGCCAGGGCACAGGGTTGTGGGCTTGATCCCCAGTGGGGGCGTGCAGGAGGCGGCCGGTCCATGATTCTCGCTCTCATCATTGATGTTTCTGTCTCTCTCTCCCTTCCTCTCTGAAATCAATAAAAATATATGTATATATTTTTAACAAAATGAAAGCGGACAAGGATGTGTGTGCGACAGAGCCGGTGTGGCCGAGCGCCAGCCGTGGCCTCGATGGGGACCGGGTGCCGTGACGGTGCGGTTTGCGTCTCCCGCTTTTCTTCACGGAGGCTCACCAGGGACCCGCCATCCTGCCTGAGTCCGGCCTCCGGGCCGTCTTTCTCTCTCGCATACGCCTCCACGCATTGCCGCTCACTTCGCTTCTCTCTTTGAGGCCAGTGTGCTCTGTCCTGGGGTGTCGAGGTCCCGTAGCTCCATGTTTGTGGGGGGTGCCCACCTCCCGGCGCGGCACGGCGACTCTGCAGCACGCCCGGGTCTGACGGCTGCCCGCCCGCCTCGTCCCAGCAGCTGCGCCTGGACCTCCTGAGCAGGGCCCTGGGCACCCCCATGGCCCGTCTGTCTCACCTGGGGGGGGAGGGGGAGGGAGTGGTGTTTGCACTCGGGTGTCTGGGTTCTGCTCCCACCTCTGAGGTCCTCCCTCCCTCTGCCCACTCCCAAGGGGTTCCCTCCATCCCGGACAGGAGTCCTTCCTTGGGATTGACCGTGCCAGTCGTCGTTGTCTGGGGTGGCTTGTAGCCGTGGCCACGCTGTCCGCGAACCCCAGACCTCAGAGACCGCCTCCCGTTTCCTCCGGGAAAGTGTCATCCTTCCGTGTCTAAGGTTCAGGTCCGAGGTCCCGCTCTGCTGTCGCCAGGCGAGGGGTGAGGCTGAGGCCGGGCTCTGTGTGTGATGCCCGGTGACCAGGCGTGTCCTGCGTGGTGTGGCGTGTGCCCTCTGTCACAGACCGCCGAGCGTGTTCGTGTGCACAGCCCTGGTTCTGGGCCACGAGCTGCCTCCGTCCGGTGTGAGTCAGCACCTGTGCCCGCTGTTCGGAGCCCCCTGTCTGTGCCCGCTGTTCGGAGCCCCCGCCCTGTCTGTGCCCGCTGTTCGGAGCCCCCGCCCTGTCTGTGCCCGCTGTTCGGAGCCCCCTGTCTGTGCCCGCTGTTCGGAGCCCCCTGTCTGTGCCCGCTGTTCGGAGCCCCCTGTCTGTGCCCGCTGTTCAGAGCCCCCTGTCTGTGTCCGCTGTTCGGAGCCCCCGCCCTGTCTGTGCCCGCTGTTCAGAACCCCGTCTGTGCCCGCTGTTCGGAACCCCCTGTCTGTGCCCGCTGTTCGGAGCCCCCTGTCTGTGCCCGCTGTTCGGAGCCCCCTGTCTGTGCCCGCTGTTCGGAGCCACTGCCCGGAGGCCACGTGGCTGCTGGTTGAAGTGAGGCCATGGGTGGTGAAGGCTGCATTCCCGCTCGGGAGCCGCCCTGGGGTGGCTGCTCCGGGACCTCAGTGTCCTGGGCGGAGTCTCTGCAGCGGCCACACCCCCGCCCACCAGGGGCTGCCCGCCTGCCAGGCTGAGTGACCCACCCAGAAGCCACATCGTGGAGACACATCGGGCACAGCTCCCCGGTTCCAGAGCCGCTGACGGAGGAACCGGGGCACCTCTCCAGGTGCCCCTGGGGCTGGTATTTTTAGCCGGCGTGGCCCTGGCTTGTGCCCAGCAGGGATAGCGAGCTCTCGCCTGCTCTGGATCTGACTCTGGCTCCTGGGGCTGGGCTGGGGGCGCGGGGCGCGCGGCGTGCTGTTTAGAGAAAGCGCAGGACGGGCGGCGGCCTCCGCTCTGTAAACACACGGGCGCCAGGCTGCCTGTCTGCCCGCCGGGCCCACAGTGGCAGGGACGGGGGGCACGCTGTAAGACGCCAGGGGGTCCCTGCACCCCCAGTGCCGGGATGGGGGGGTTCTGGGTGTGGAAGATTCTCTATTGCTGTCGGCTGATCCCCCCCCCAACCGGCTGTGTCCCCCCACATGCCTCCTGGGGAATGGCCCCCGACTCCGCCCTCCTCTGTGCGGCTGAGGCCTGCTAACTGGGGGGCCGGGGGGTCCCTCTCTCCTGGGATCGGGCCGCAGCTGGACTGACGTCACGGACTGGCCGGTGCCCCCCTACGAAGGGTCCGAGCCAAGGGCAGAGGGGGGCAGTGGCCTGGGCCCCTGGGGGGACCCGGGCAGCACCGGGCCTGGGGGCTGGGCCCACTGTAGTCTGTGTTGGTACCACCCTGCCTGCCCTGCCCCTCGTCTCCTGGCCCTTGGGCAGCAGTGGGCATGGTGGGTGCCCAGCACGCGCCCCGTAGACCTGCCTCCTGAGCCCCCACCCGGCCCCCGGCCCCGTGTAGCTGCGGGCCTGCTGGCTCAGGGTCCCTGACTGCACCCCTCTCCCTCCTGGGGGGTCTGTCAGGAACGCTCACAGCTGCCGCCTGTCATTGTGGCTGGCGAGTGCTTAGCAGACACGATCATTGAGCAGCCTCTCGCCAGGCAGGGATGGTGCAGCCTCCGGGGGGCGCCCTCACGGAGGGGCTGTGCCCCCTCCTGTGGGCCTCAACCGACCCCCCCAGGAGCCCCGGGGCCTCGGCGACTTGTTCTGGGCACACGGCCGGGCGGGCGGGCACGCCTCCCCTGCCCTCCTCGCCCACTTGTTCGTTCTGGTCCTCCCTGCAGACGGCAGGGGACCCGGGCTGGGCGGGCAGGGAGGGTGCAGAGCCGGCACGGCCGCTCCGCCAGGCGTGCTCCGGGGCCCCTGACCGCGGTTCTGTGCCCACAGTGCCCGAGAAGCCGGAGCCAGTGCCACTGGAGAGCCGCTCCTGCGTCCTCATCCGCCGGGACCTGGTGGCCCTGCCCGCCAGCCTCATCAGCCAGATCGGGTACCGCTGCCACCCCAAGCTGTACTCGGAGGGCGACCCGGGCGAGAAGCTGGAGCTGGTGGCAGGTGAGGCCCTGGCCGTGGGGCCGAGCCCGGTGGCTTTCCCCTGAGCCAGGAGCCACGTCCTTGCGCCGCTCTGTCCCTCCGGCGTCCCCTCAGAATGTGCACTGGGGTCGCTCAGGGGCGCTGACCCAGCATTCCACTCCCATCTCTGGGCGGGGCCGGCTCGGAGGGCGGGCGGCAGCCTCGCTGTGTCGCCCTTTAGGTCAAAGATAGAACCAGGAATGCGGTTTGGAATCCCCCCATCCAGACCCTGAGCCCGAGTGCCCCCCGACCCCCATGGTGCTTCCCGACCCCCATGGTGCCCCCCGGCCCCCATGGTGCCCCCCCGGCCCCCATGGTGCCCCCCCGACCCCCGTGGTGCCCCCCCGACCCCCATGGTGCCCCCCCGACCCCCGTGGTGCCCCCCGACCCCCATGGTGCCCCCCGGCCCCCATGGTGCCCCCCGGCCCCCGTGGTGCCCCCCGACCCCCGTGGTGCCCCCCGACCCCCGTGGTGACCCCCGACCCCCGTGGTGCCCCCCGACCCCTGTGGTGGCCCCCCGACCCCCGTGGTGCCCCCCGACACCCATGGTGCCCCCCGACCCCCATGGTGCCCCCCCCGGCCCCCATGATGCCCCCCGCCGGCCCCCATGGTGCCTCCGACCCCTATGATGCCCTCCCCGGCCCCCATGGTGCCCCCACCGGCCCCCATGATGCCCCCGACCCCCATGGTGCCCCCCCCGGCCCCCATGATGCCCCCCGCCCCCCATGGTGCCCCCCGGCCCCCATGGTGCCCCCCCGGCCCCCATGATGCCCCTCGCCGTGTCTGCAGGGCCGTGTGTTGTGAGCAGGTCAGAAGCCCATCAGGGCCATGTCTTTGTCAGAAAATTTATCTTTTCTTTTTTAAATTGATTTCAGAGAGGAAAGGAGAGGGAGAGAGAGAAACATCCGCGATGAGAGAGAATCATGGACCAGCTGCCTCCTGCACGCCCCCCACTGGGGACCGAGCCCACACCCCGGGCCTGTGCCCTGGCGGGAATCGAACCGGAACCTCCTTGTTCCTAGGTCAATGCTCAGCCCCTGAGCCAGGCTCTCAGGCTGTCGGGCTATAAGGGGAGACGATGCTGAGGGCATGGCACCCTCACGGGTGACAGCAGCCCTGCCGGCCTCCGCCCCCACCCACCTCGGTGTCTGCATCTCACAGGCCCAGCAGGGAGCTCCCCGAGGGGCAGCCCCAGGGGACAGGGCCCCGGGCCTGGCAGGTCCCACTCACAGAGCTGCAGAGGTCCGCTGTGCCCCCTGCTGTGCCCGGCACGGCTCCCCGGGTGTCTCTGCTGCCCCCCCCCGCCCCCACTGTCCCCCTTCTCCCCCCTGCTGTGCCCGGCGCGGCTCACCAGGTTGTCCCCGCTGCGCCCCCTGCTGTGCCCGGCGCGGCTCCCTGGGTGTCTCTGCTGCCCCCCCTGCTGTGCCCAGCCTGGCTCACCGGGTGTCTCCGCTGCCCCCCCGCCCCCACTGTCCCCCTTCTCCCCCCTGCTGTGCCCGGCGCGGCTCCCCGGGTGTCTCCGCTGCCCCCCCATCCCCACTGTCTCCCTTCTCCTCCCTGCTGTGCCCGGCGCGGCTCCCCGGGTGTCTCTGCTGCCCCCCCCCCAGCCCCCACTGTCCCCCTTCTCCCCCCCATGCTGTGCCCGGCGCGCTCACCGTGTGCCTCCACAGGCTCCGGCGTCTGCATCACGCGGGGCCAGCTCATGAACTGCCACCTGTGCGCGGGCGTCAAGCACAAGGTGCTGCTGCGCCGGCTGCTCGCCACCTTCTTCGACAGGTGGGTCCGCCCGGAAGCTGGTCCCCGAGCCCCAGCCCCTCTCCCGCCCCCTCTGACCTCACCCAGCACCCAGCACGCGGGGGAGGTCCCCCAAAGTGAGGAACCACCGCCTCCCCCGGGTGCCCCGAGCAGCCCTCCCCAAGGGCTTTCTTTCCTCCCGCCCACCGGGCCTGGTCCCCCCCCCCCCCGTCCCCTCCCCCCAGTGAGCGCAGTCCGGGGGTCCCCCCCCCCCCCCGTGAGCGCAGTCCGGGGGCCGGACCCCCGTGTCCCCCCCCCGGGTGAGCGCAGTCCGGGGTCCCCCCCCCCGGGTGAGCGCAGTCCGGGGGTCCCCCCCCCCCGGGTGAGCACAGTCTGGGGGCCGGACCCCCAGACCCTCCCCCCCGGGGTGAGCGCAGTCCGGGGCCGGACCCCTGTCCCCCCCCCCCCCCGGGTGAGCGCAGTCCGGGGTCCCCCCCCCCGGGTGAGCGCAGTCCGGGGTCCCCCCCCCCCGGGTGAGCGCAGTCCGGGGGCCGGACCCCTGTCCCCTCCCCCCCGTGAGCGCAGTCCGGGGGCCGGACTTCTGAGCGCCCGGTGTGAGGCGAAGGCCAGCGTGTCCCGGCCTCACCGCCCCCTCCCTCCTCCTCCTCCAGGAACACGCTGGCCAACAGCTGTGGCACCGGCATCCGCTCGTCCACCAGTGACCCCAGCCGCAAACCGCTGGACAGCCGGGTCCTCAACGCCGTGAAACGTGAGGCCCGGGCCTGGGGCGGGGGGGCTGGAGGGGGCCGGTGCACTGGGGGGCCGGGGCTGGGGGGGTGGGGGGATGGGGAAACGAGGGGATGGGGGGCCGGGTGCTGGGGTGAGGGCGGCCGGGGGGCCGGGGGGATGGGGGCTTAGGGGGGTGGGAGGCCCGGGGGGGGGGAAACGGGGATGGGGGACCAAGGGGGATGGGGGGCCTGGGGAGTGGCCATCCGGGTCGGCTGAGGAGGAGGAAGGATGGCTCTCGGGGCTCGGGGCTCGGCTCCCGGGAGCCGGTGCCAGATGTGAGGAGTGGGGCCGTGGGACGATTCAGCCGTGAAATGGATCTGGCATTCCGTTTTAAACAAAACGCGTTCCTGACACGGCATCTATTCTGAGCCTCTGCCATCTGCTCGGCGGCTCTGCCTCCGCTCCGGGGCGTGGGGTGGGGCGTGGGGTGGGGCGTGGGGTGGGGCTGGCTGCCGTGGTGGCAGAGGCCGCCCCCCCCCCACCTGGGGAGAAGCCAGCGGTGCCGGGCGGCCACGGCCAGCGTGCGGCCTCCTGTGGCCGCGGGTGCAGACAGCCAGTTTCCCGCTTAAACGACATCTGTTGTCTTAGGGCCGTGGTCGGCAAACGGTTGCTCTCGAGCCACATGCGGCTCTTTGGCCTCTTGAGTGTGGCTCTTCCAGAAAACACCACGTGCTGTGCGCACGGACGGTGTGACGGAAACTGGTGGCCCATGGGCAGAAGTCGGTGTTCGGCTCTCCAAAGGAATCTCAATCGTGGTGCTGTGGGTATTTGGCTGTTGACAAACGAGCTTGCCGACCACCGTTTTAGAGCATAAAGGGGGCTGTGCCGTCGGCTCAGTTGGGTGCGGTGGCCCCCGCGCAGCGGCAGGGGCAGCGGCAGGCGGGCAGGCGGGCGGCTCGGAGTCTGAGCCCCCGTCCCTCCAGTGAGGGCAGACGGGGTGTCCCTGCCCCGACCACCGTGGTTGGGGGCGGGTCCTCTGCACAGGCCACGCCGGGGCAGGCGGCCCCCGGACGGCAGCCAGAGTGGTGCTGAGGCGAGGCCTTTGGGCCGGCCTGCAGCTGGGGGCCTGCTTGGTGAGGCAGGAGCCGGGCTGGGGCGGGGCGGGGCCGTGCTGTGCTCTGACCGTGGGGGAGCCCCACGCCGAGGCTGCGGGGGCCGGGGGGACGGTGAGCACAGGCCGAGCGCGGCAGGTGGCAGGGCGCCCGGGCAGCAGGCGGGGGTCAGAGGGCACGGGGAGGGCGGCGAGGCGGGACCCCGGAGCGGGGTGCTGGAGGCTGCGGTGTTCCCTCTGCAGTTCGGCTGCTGGTTTGGGGGAGGAATGGGGCTCCCGGCAGCCCCTCACGCCCCCCATTCCGTCCCGTCCCCCCAGTGTACTGCCAGAACTTCGCGCCCAGCTTCAAGGAGAGCGAGATGAACGTGATCGCGGCCGACATGTGCACCAACGCCCGGCGCGTCCGCAAGCGCTGGCTGCCCAAGATCAAGTCCATGCTGCCCGAGGGCGTGGAGATGTACCGCTCCGTCATGGGCGCCTCGGCTGCCGGCGTGGCCCTGGATCCCGAGTTCCCGGCCGCCGCCCAGGTGTTCGAGCAGCGGCTGTACGCGGAGCGGCGGGGCGACGCGGCCGCCCTCGTGGCCCTGAGGACTGACGCCGCCCCCGCCGACCCGCCCTTCGAGGCCGGGGAGGAGGCCGAGGGGGCCGGCCCCGTCATCCAGGAGGTGGCCGCGCCCGAGCCGCTGCCCGCCGACGGGCAGAGCCCCCCGCGGCCCTTCGAGCAGGGCGGCCCGGGCTCCCGGCCCCCCACGCCCGCGGCCCGCCGGCCGGACGCCGCCTACGCGGGGACCCTGTAGGGCCGGCCGGCCTGCTAGCTGCTTGCATGCGTTACTAATACAACCAATGTGATCGAGCCACTCACCCACGAACGGCGCTGCCTGAAAACAATGTGATTCCTATCCCGCTTGTATTTAAGGTCCATGAAGGAGACGGCACCCGGACTGTGAGCCAGGAGCCCCGGGTGCTCCAGCTCGGTCTCCACGTGTAGCTTCTCCCCCTTCTGGACGGATCGGGCGCGCGGGCCGGGTGCCCGGCCGAGCCCCACCCCTCCCTGCCCCCCTGCCAGGGCGAAGCCAGGGACCCGCCCGCCGCCCCCCTGTGGCCGAACCCCTGCTGTCTCCTTCCTCCTGCACCGGGCCAGGCGGCCGGTCCCTGTGCGGGTGCGTGTGCGTGTGCGTGTGGGAGGGTGACCAGCCGTGATGGGCCTTGCTGTCCCGGGACAGGAGAAAGGGCTCCTGGCTGGACCTGGGCTCCGCCCCACGGCCCCTCTCCCCCTCGCACCGGGGCCCCCTCCCCGGCTCCAGCCAGGTGCCGGCTGACCTGTGGGGCGTGGCCGCCTCCCGGGGGCCGGTGCTCCGCCGTGACAGGATTCTGTGTGTGCCTTTGGGTCTGAACTCGGCTCCTCCGTGCACGACCTGGGACCTTTCAGACCCAAAGAGCGGACGGCGAGGGAGGACGGGGTGTCCCTGCCCCGACCACCGTGGTTGGGGGCGGGTCCTCTGCACAGGCCACGCCGGGGCAGGCGGCCCCCGGACGGCAGCCAGAGTGGTGCTGAGGCGAGGCCTTTGGGCCGGCCTGCAGCTGGGGGCCTGCTTGGTGAGGCAGGAGCCGGGCTGGGGCGGGGCGGGGCCGTGCTGTGCTCTGACCTGACCGTGGGGGAGCCCCACGCCGAGGCTGCGGGGGCCGGGGGGGCGGTGAGCACGGGCCGAGCGCGGCAGGTGGCAGGGCGCCCGGGCAGCAGGCGGGGGTCAGAGGGCACAGGGAGGGCGGCGAGGACCGGCCCCCGGAGCGGGGTGCTGGAGGAATGGGGCTCCACCTCCCCAGCCCCCCACCCCCTGTGACTCAGGACCCACAAAGCCGAGCCACATGGGGCCCCAAGGTGGGGCAGCCTGGGGCGGGGTGGGGGGCTTCTTCCCAGGCTGCGCGGAGCCTCCTGCCCCCCATCCCCACCCCCCACCTGTGCCTGGCCTCCGGAGAGATCTGGCAGCTTCCGGAAGGGGTGGAGGCTGGAGGGGGGGCAGGACCCAGGGTGGGAGGGAGCCGGAGCTGAGCTCAGTCCTTCCACCGCTGTCCCTGCCGGGGTCCTGTGCCCAAAGGGGCTGCGTCTCTGGGGCTTCAGACCAGCCACCTGGCCTCGCGCCCTTCCCCCCCCCCCCCCCCCGCCCCGGCCCAAGAGGGACCAGACGTGGGTCCTCCTGGGAGTGAGAGGAGGCGTGCCCTCAGCACCCTCAGGTGGACTCGGGGCCCTGCAGGTGGTGGAGGGTGAGGCTGACCCACCATCTCCCCGCGGAGTTTCCTTGATTTGCTCCCCCACCCAAATTTGCACTTTAATTTGACCCCCCTGGGGACCTCGGGCCTCCGTCCTGGCTGCGGACGGACGGAGGGCTCCCTGTCTCCCTCTCTCTCCTCCACCCCAGAGCGGGCACGGGCCCGCCGGGGCCAGGAAGCCAGGGCGCTCGGCCGGCCAGCGTGGCCGCACAGAGAAGGCCGGGCCGAGGCTCAGGCCAGCACAATGTCCGTGGCCTCCGCCCCGATGGCTGACCATCGCCGTCCGCCCTGTGGCTCCGGGGGGCGGGGAGGGGGAAAGGCCGAGCGCAGGTGAAACTTGAATCGTTCAATGTGAATGGGCCTGAGCTCCCGGCCCGAGGGCCAGGCCGGCGTTTTGCACTAAGTGCCCCGTGTGGGCGTGGGCGTGGGCGTGGGCCCGGCGCCTGGCGGGCGGCGTGGCTGATGATTGTATGTGCTGGCGCCCGGCCGGGCGTCCCTGGGGGCCGCGGGGCCTGGCCCGCAGGCCTTCCAGAGTGCCTTAGCACCTTCCCTCTCCCCTCACCCGCCCCTTCCTCTGTTTACACGACTCCTTCCCGTCCCGCGGCCACCCTCGCCCCACGCCCTCGCCCCACGCCCCGTGGACGAGAGACAAGCCACTCAGCGTCTGTGAGAAGCTGCACCTTCTCCCAAGCTTGACTGTTAGCGACACGCACCCACACGCACCTGTCACGAGCGAGGCTCCTGGGGAGGGGCGGGCACCCACGGTGTGGCTGACGTGGCAGCCACGGGCCCGGGGTCCGGCCACGCCCCGCCCTCCTGCAGGGAGCGGCTGGGGTGGCGGAGGGCGAGGGTCCCGGGGCCCCCCGGGGGGGACCAGCCGTGGGACGGATACTGTGAGCACGGCGGGGCCCCAGCCATGGCGGCCTCGGTACTTGAATTCTGTCTTGTTTTCTGCACTGTGTCTGGCCTTGGCCAGAGTTCTCTGTGGTCACTAACTGTGCATTGGATCCTGTTGTCTTACTGCCCTGACCGGACGCGAGGCCGGGAGAGCCCTCAGGGTGGACCCACAGCCCTGCAATGGGGGGCCGGGCAGGGCTCCTGAGCCGCGGGGTGTTTGTGTTGAGAGCTGGAAGGAAGGCGGGAGGGGGGACTGGGGTCCCCGGGTGAGGGACTCGAGGATGCGGCCCTGACCTGTCCCCCTCGGCAGCAGCACTGGCCCAGGGCCAGCCTCCCCGGCAGTGGCTGCTCCGATTCCCCTCCGACGGGCGATCTTTATGGCAATACTTTGCCGTAGGAAAAGGCCGATGGCCCCAAACCACCTGGAAACTCGGAGAAAGCCTTTGCCTCAGCCGCAGCAACCCCGCAGAATGGGGCACTCAGGTGCCCTGAGCTTTAGCTGCTGCTGCCGGGCCCGGCACTGGCGGCCCCACCCAGCACCCCCACCCGGCATCCGGGACCGAGACCCTGAGGGCCAGTGCGAGCTGTTTCTGTCGTGGCGAAGGTTTGGGGTTGTTGTTTGTTTGTTTGTTTGTTGTGGTTCTTTGGGGGGAAAAAACCTGGAAAGGAAAATTACGCAGGATCTAAAAGGTTCGGCTTGGACCACCTGCTCGCATTCCGGTCGGTCGCTTCCCTGTTCGCGTTTTGCACATGACTGTAATTTCTACGTCCACAGAAGCCAAAACTCGCAATACTGTTCTCACCAGAGAAGAGAGCTGAGTGTAGAGTCGGACGGATGTTGTTGACTTGAACCTTCGGACGATCCCGGGAGCAAACGGACCCTCCTCCGGGCCTCCCCCGGAGCCGTGGCCGCAGCCCGGTGTGGGCGTGGGCCACCGCCGCCTCGACTGTTACAACCATAAACCAAACACGCACGCCTGAGCCGAGGGGCCGGCTCCACGCATGCCCACGGCGGCCGCGGCCTCAGACCCTCGCCTTTTTTTTTTTTGCTTTTTTCTTTCTTTGAAGAAGGAGGAAACCCGGGTGTTTGTCGCTGGGCCCGGCTCAGCTGTCGCTTCCTCGCCACGGCTGACGCTGTTCCAGTGACCCAGCCCCCGAGACGCCCGCCGGGCCACACCGTGCTCCCGGCCCCCGGCTCCCGGCTCCCGGCGTGCTCAGAGCCACTCCGTGTGTGGGTGTCCGTCACGAACAGACGGAGGACACGCCCGGTCGTTGTAAAGCGCTTTGTAAAGTTCACATTTACAGAATAATAAAGTCAGTTCAAACCCGGTGGCCTGGGCCATGCTTGCACAGGAGGGTTGGGGGGGCACTGAGAAGCCAGGGAGGGGGCTGGGCTGTTCGGGCAGAGGGACTGCTGTGCTGGGCTGCCCTCAGGCCCGGGGGAAAAGCTCGCTGCCCACTGCCCACCCCTGGCCCCTCTCTCCCTCCCCCCACAGTGTCTCCTGAGGGAGGGGCTGCTGGGCAGGATGGCCTGGGGTCACGGGCCTGGCTGAGGGCCTCCTTGTCTTCCTTGTTCTAAACCCTCCGCCGAGGGCATTTCCCGTAAACTGTTAGGGGGAGTGGAAGTGAGAGGGGAAGATGGAGAGAAACACCGATGGGAGAGCGACACATCGATGGGTTGCCTCCTACAAGCGCCCCCACCAGGGCCCAGGCCGGGGAGGAGCCTGCCTCTGAGGTGCGTTCCCTTGACCACCCTTCGGTCTGCAGGCCACTGCTCTATCCACTGAGCAACCCTGGCCAGGGCTCATTTCCTTCTTGTGTGCAACCTGGGAGAGCCACCTCAGCCGGCTCCCCTGCCTGCCTCCCATGCCCCCTCCTGGGCCCCGCCTGCCCCCGGTGGACTGAGGAGGAACTGCAGGTGGGCGAGGAGGCTCCACCTCCCAGCTGCCTGGGGAGTGTCCCTCCCCCCTGCAGGCGGGTGGGGTTCTGGGGTTCAGGCCTGGCCCCTCTTCTCTGCTGGAGCCATGGGGCCTGCCTGGGCTCTCTGGGTGTGGTCGCTGGCCCAGTGTTTGCCTCCCGCCACGGGCATCTGCGGGGGTGGGGGGGCCTCACTCCCTGTCCCGGGAGGGTCTGGTCCAGAGTGGCCACCCCACCGGGTCCCCCCCTTTCTCAGGCCTCGCACCCCCAGTCTGCGAGCTGGGGCTCACTGCTTGTTTCTGGGGCGCTGCCTTGTGGGGGTCTCCCCAGTGGAGAGGGCCCCAGGGCGCATGAACAGGCGCAGGAGGGAAGGGGTGGACACAGCCAGAAGGGCCCTCGCTGGGGACTCGCATCAGCGGGTGCTGGTCTGGGCGTCCTGAGCCAGCTCTCCCTCCCCCAGGGCGCCCAGGAGGCCTGTCTCCCCGCTCCCCGCCCCCACATCCACTCCGCCCTGCAGGCCCCTCCCCCAGGCCTTGAGGCTGGTGGGCAGGTGGGTTCGGGCCACCCACCTGGGCCGGTGGAGACACCAGCCTGTGGCCGTGGACAGTCAGGAGGGCCCCAAACCCCACAAGCCCCCCCAGGCCAGCTTGGCTCCCCAGGCCAGGCCAGCTGAGGCCCCGGTGTGTGTGTGTGTGTGTGAGGGCAGGTATATGAGGGCATCGGGTGGAACCCAGGCCCTGCCCCGTGCTCGAAGCCCTCGGCCCCAGCCTCAGCAGCCTTCCCGCTCTGCAGCCTCCGAGGACACTGGCTGCAGCATCAGAACCGCCCTGGTCCTCGTCCTCGTCCTCAAGCCATAGTCCCCCCTCCTCCCTACCCTTCGCCCTCCCCAGCCTCCCCTTCCCCAGCCTCCCTCCCCAGCCTCCCCTCCCCAGCCTCCCCTCCCCAGCCTCCTTCTCCAGTCCCCCCCAGCCTCCCCTCCTCAGCCTCCCCTCCCCAGCCTCCCCTCCCCAGCCTCCCTTCTCCAGTCCCCCCTCCCCAGCCTCCCCTCCCCAGCCTTTCCTCCCCAGCCTCCCCTCCCCAGCCTCCCCTCCCCAGCCTCCTTCTCCAGTCCCCCCCAGCCTCCCCTCCTCAGCCTCCCCTCCCCATCCTCCCCTCCCCAGCCTCCCTTCTCCAGTCCCCCCTCCCCAGCCTTTCCTCCCCAGCCTCCCCTCTCCAGCCTCCCCTCCCCAGCCTCCCCTCCCCAGCCTCCCCTCTCCAGTCCCCCCCTCCAGCCTCCCCTCCCCAGCCTCCCCTCTCCAGTCCCCCCTCCAGCCTCCCCTCTCCAGTCCCCCCTCTCCAGTCCCCCCTCCCCAGCCTCCCCACCTCAGCCTCCCCTCCCCAGCCTCCCCTTCCCGGCCTCCCTCCCCGGCCTCCCCTCCAGCCCTCTGTGCTGCCTGGGAGGAGTTGCCGAGCCAGCAGGACCCAGAGCCTCTGTCCTCCCTCCGAGCCTTGGTGTGGCCCCCCCTTCGCCCGCCTCATGGGGTGAAGACGAAGGCCCGCTCCCCACCGGAGGGCTGTGGGCCAGGGCGGGATGGGGAGGCCGGATGGGGACCCCAATCCGGAGGCACTGGGGGGGCCGGGCTGCAGGGTCCCGGGCGGCAGAGGAGCGGGTGCAGGTGCCGGCCTGTCTCCGTGTCCACCTGCTCTGGGCCCAGGGGACCCCAAGGCGGGACCCCCGATGTCACGGGGGGGGAGGGCCTCTGAGCGGAGCGGGTCAGCTCCAGGCGGCGGGCTGGGCAGAGCCGACCTCAGGGACCTGCTCCCAAACGCAGACGGCCGAGCCAGCACTGAGGCCCGGCTGAGGCCTGGGGGGCCGGACGGACGGATGGGGACCAGAGCCCCCCCCCCCCCCGCTGCCTTCGGGCAGGGAGGCGCCCGAGGGGGACGGACGGACGGACGGATGGGAACGAGCCCCCCCCCCCGCTGCCTTCGGGCAGGGAGGCGCCCGAGGGGGACGGATGGACGGATGGGGACGAAAGCCCCCTCCTGCTGCCTTCGGGCAGGGAGGCGCCCGAGGGGGACGGACAGACGGACAATGGGGACGAGAGGCCCCTCCCGCTGCCTTCGGGCAGGGAGGCGCCCGAGGGGGACGGACGGACGGATGGGGATGAGAGCCCCCTCCCGCTGCCTTCGGGCAGGGAGGCGCCCGAGGGGGACAGACGGACGGATGGGGACGAGAGCCCCCCCCCCCCCCGCTGCCTTCGGGCAGGGAGGCGCCCGAGGGGGACGGACGGACGGACGATGGGGACGAGAGCCCCCCCCCTCCCCCCGCTGCCTTCAGGCAGGGAGGCCCACACGGCCGGCCCGGCTCGCAGGGTCTTCCCGGAACGGGGCCTGGCCGGGAAACCAATCTGATCAGAGAGCCGCACGGCCCTGAGCACCGGGCGGTGCTGGCAGAAGCCGGCTCCTCCGAACAAACCCGGGAAGCTTTCTGAGGGGACGGCTGCGGGGAGGGGCTCCCGGGCGCGGGGCCCAGGAGGGAGAGGCCAGCCCCCCAGCCCCCCCGCGGGTGGTGCGGGGCGGGGGGGTGGGGGGGGGAGGCAGACTCTGCCATTCTTCCCTGCCCGGCCTTGGCGCCTGCTGAGCTCCTCGGCCTCAGTTTTCTCCTCCACAGAATGGGGTCATGGGGGGCTGCCCCCTGGGATTTGGGGTGCGCAGCTGGCGCCTGTGGGCGGCTGACACCCATCAGGTGGCTCTGCACCGAGAGAGAATCCGGGAAAGCTGGGGCCGCAGCCGCAGCCCATGAGCCGAGTTGAGGAGGTGGGCGGAGACTGGCCCTGTGGAGGGGAGACCCTGGGAGCAGGAATGGGGTGAGTGGACCCGCACGCACAGGCTGGCTCTGCTCTCTGCTGCCTCCTCCCTGGTCCCTCTGGCAGAGCCTGGGCCGGGCAGGGGCGGGGAGGGCTCCTGGGTGGGCCTGGCACCTGCAGGAGAAGCGTCCGGGGCCCAGGGTGGGGTGGGGCCCACAGGCCCCATGATGATGCGTGGGGCGCCCTGGCCATGTCGAGGGCGGGAAGAGCTCGGGGCTGAGGTCAGGGGTCAGGGGAAGGGTCCTGCAGGGCCCTGGTGGGCACTGAGCGCGTCTGGGCAGGGACCGGCGCGGAGCCAGCACCGCTCTGCACGGCTGGAGCGGCCCTCTCCCTCGGCTCCTCCGGCTCTGGGGGCCCAGCGCCCAGGACAGCTGTGGGCGTCACCCGGCCCGTCTCCTGCAGAGTCACGTGCCCCACACGTTTGTTCTGAGAGGGAGCAGATGGTGGAACAGTAACACTTCCCTGAGGATTCCACACGCACATTAAATTTGGATTTAATAAGACAGCTCCTGCATGGAGATCAGGGCCCCACCCAGGGCTCCTCACGGGGAGGTCCGATCCCCCCGAGGTCCGCCAGCTCAGCTCCGCCCCAGGCTGCCCGCCGCGGGGGATGGGGGAAAGGATCTCGGTGTCCGGGGCCCTCAGCGCAGGGCGCACAGCAGCTCTGGGGGGTGGAGAGGGCCCCACACGGGCCATCCTGGCTGACGCACAGCTTCCCTCAGAGCCGCCGCCAGCCCAGCTGGTGGGCCAGGACTCCATGCTCTTTCTCTCCCTCCACGGCCCCTCCACCCCCCACACACACTGTGCACCCCCCCAGCCCCTCGGGGCCTCCGCTCTCCCGGAGGCGCCCTGGCTGTGCTCCCACTGGCACGGGGTGGGGCGGGGCCGAGCTTGCACACACACTGCGCTCACTCAGGGAGACGGGCCCCGGCCCCTCTGTGGGGGGGCGGCAGCGAGCACCTCCACAGGAGTGAGGGGGCGTCCACGGAGCAGTGCCAGGCAGACACGGGCCAGGACACGTCTGCCCACACGTCTTCGCAG